TTCCCCAACCCTTATTTTATATATATATATACATATATATATATATATGTGCTCTATTTTATTTTTATGGATTTTCACTTAAGTCTTTAATTCATGTGACTGGTGGTACGTTGTAGGGATTTATTTTTTCTATAAATGTAGTGATCAAATCTTTATGTTTGTGTGGAATCCTGTTCAAAGAATTTGATCTAATTTTCCATACATAGAGACAGAGGAAATTATTTAATATCCAGAAGGAGCTTCCTAAGAAATGTTTTGCCTCAGAATTGGCTATAAGAATCTTTTAAGTGGTGAACATTTTTTTCTTTCATTCTTTTCTCTTTTTTTATTCATGAGACTAAGTGGGCAAGAGACAAAGCGAGAAGCAGGCACCCCCAGCAGGGCCCCATCACTCTGTGATCCCCTTTCTTCTGAACCTCCAGCCATGAATTTCCTTCTTGAATTTAAATTCAACTCGCTTATAATAAGGCCAGGTCCAGGTTTGGGAGGGAGCCTGAAATTTATATAATTTAGGAGTTCTCTTCAATGCAAGAATACCAAAGTTTGAATATAAAATTAGCTACAGGACCTTGCAGGTGTAGAGACCTGGAATTTAAGCTTCCTGAGCCTCACAGTAAATTCACCCTGCTTTTGCCAGCAGGTTTTTACATAAAAGGATGAAGAACAGCCGTCTCCATCTATGGAGTGGTATGACTTTCTTTTGTATTCGCCAACTGCCACAACTTCAGGATTTCCCCCCCCCCTTCCTTTGTTTTTTAGAGACATTTAATAGAAGACACATACATCAAGGTGACTTTCATGCTGGAAGTGCAGTTAGTCCAGTGAGAAGTTCTTTCAGCAGGGTCTTCACCACCTCTGCATTGCTCAGATGTAATGTATTTGATCAGCATAGTAGCTGGGAGCTTAGTATAATAATGGGAATCGTTAATCTTGCAAGCCTTTGGAACTTGAATTTACACCTTTAACTTTGCATATCTGCTTACTTTTGCATTAGCGTTTGGTCAGCACTGCTGAGAGCTTTTTGAGGATGCAACTATGGGGGTTTTCTTTATATCTGGCCCCTTCTAAAACTGGAGAGGCAAATAGTGACCAACGTCATTAGAAGTAATGCAAGGATAACAGTATTATTGGTTTGTCAGGAAAGTCATGATGCATTTTGCATAGACAAAATTTTGCACAACTTTCCCAATGACCTAATAATAATGCCCAGGGGCCAGCAGGTGGTGTGGTGCTGGACTCCCACATGACTGACCATGGGTTCAATTCCTAGACTCTGCACTTGAAAATCACCCCAGGCACGTGAGTGTGTGTGTGCGCGTGTGTGTGTGAGTGCACGCACACGCTCAAAATCCCAAGAGGAAAATGGAGGAGGGACTGCGGCATAGCCAACCAGGACTGTGGTAAATGCTTACTTGAATGACTTCATCCTCGTTACCCCGTGAGGTAGGCACTATTATGACCCTTGCTTTACTGATAAGGAAGCTGAGGCTAGGGAGAGGGTGTTGTATTCAAGACCTGAGTGGGGAACTCCAGAGCCCCTACTTTAAGATTCTTGAAGGCCAGTGTTCTCACCTGACAAATAAGAAAACAGACTCGGGACCAGGATGTGCAGTGGTCACCGATGCTCTGTGAAGCTGCATCCATGTGGGAAGGTCCTGGGTTTGCATCCCAAGGCCTCCCTGAGCATGCTGTGTGTGCGTACACACATGCCCATGATTGGGCTGGCTGAAGCTGGGGATGGGTCACAGCATGAAGACTCTGTTGGGAATGCCTGTCTCTGTCAGTCTCTCTCTCTTATGGAAGAAATATACAAATAAAAAAGAAAAGAAAAGAAAACAGACTTGGAGAAACCTGAGATCTTTTGCCATCAGGTTGTATATGTTTAGTTTTTTGAAGTTTTGTGGATTATTTCAATGAATTCCTCCAAGAGTCCTGGAAGAGAAATACTGTTGGTATTCCCGTTTAACATGCAGATGAGGAGACTGAGACCCACCAATGTCCAAGGTCACTGTGAAGTGGAAGAACTTAGGCCACCTGCTCCCGGAGCCAGGCTCTGCCTGCATTCTCCCGCTGTCTTCCCAGGGAGGGCCGCTAAAGCTCAGAGCAGTTCCTGACTGATACTTCCCCGGGGCTCCCAGTATTTTAAAGGAAGACATGCCTGGACATGGTTACAAAAGCTGGCATATTTAAAGTGTTTATATATTTATGTTCTGGTTTAATTGCTAGGGGACATGTACCCTCACCAGAGAGAAAGAGAGAGGGAGAGGAAGAACACCCCCCCCCAAACAGGAAGTGATCATACCACAATCTCTCCTCTTTATCCTGCTGGGATTTGGGTATGGGCATACATGCACATGCACCTAGCGTGTTTTCCAAGCCACTGTGGCCAGGATTCAAACTGTGTGGTCGGCCATACGGGCTCCAACTCATTTAACTACTAGGCCACGGGGCAGGCCCTGGATATTTATATTACACAGATCATTTCTTTAACCCTCAGAAAACAATGCAATACCATTCTGCTATTTGCAAGATAATTATGAGATTGATAAGAAATGATCACTCACGGGGCTTTTACGGTCAAGGTGGTATGGGAATGTGACACAATTTAAAGTTGCTGGTGAACATCCCCTTTCAATCTGCGTCTCTGATTTGGTGGATGGTTTCATCTGGAGAACATGCCAGAAGTCTTGAGGCTCTTTGGGGATGGAGGGTGGGCGATATCCTCCGTCTAGCCGGTGTTTATAGAACCAGCAGCCTTGTGCCTGGTATTTCCTTTGTTTTTCCAATATTGGGCTAAAAAGGCAAATGTTGATAGAAGATTATACTGAAATACTGAGCTTTGTTGTTTTTGATAAAAAGAAAAGTCACTCAATGAGGACTGATGAGAGACAGCCATCAATGTTATATTCTACTGTATATTATATTCACTGTTCATTCCTTCGTAAACATTCGTTCATTTGAATGAGGGACAGAGACCCAGCACCCCCAGCTTGACACTGCAAACCACCCCCAGCTTTAGCCGATCCCGAGGGTGGACACACACCTGCCCAGAGCACTTAGGGAGGTCTCCAGATACGAACCAGTAACCTTCCCGTGTGGGTCTGCCTCACCGAGCATGCATCTTATTGCTGTGCCGGCTGACTTCGGCATTTGTTCCTATTGTATTATTTCCCGGTTAGAGGGAGGTTTCTAAGAAAGAGGGGAGTGCTTTGTTTTGTTTCTAAACCGGAGGATACATTTCCAAGTCATTCTCCCTAGCGGTATAAATTAAAATGCAGGGCCTATTTCCAACTCCACTGGTGACTTGCTCCGAAGCTTTAGGAAAGTCAGTTAACATTTTACTCATTCCTGAGTCTGTACCATAGGAATGACAGTGTTGTCATCAGATTTTTTCCAAAGCATTTTTCAGAGCCTTGAACGAAAGGTATTAAAAAAATATTGTCTGCCTTATTCCGACTCCCACCTAGCTGTGGACTCCAATTACTAGCCACTTAGACACATTTGGAGGGAAGTCTCTTATCACACCTTGCTAATCGGCAACTTTCACAGTTGTGGTTTGTTGTTGCAATTGCAAAGCTAATGTCTTGGAAGGCCCTGCTCTCTTGGAGGGTTAGAAAACATGAGCACATCTCCATGCAAATGTCAGATTCTTATTAGCACATCACCCATCCATCCCTTACGAGATTATGCAACTCTGCTCATAGATGTAATCAGCTTTGTGTTTTCATTCAAGGATAACAAACTAGCAAGGTTGAAATCTCGACTTGTCATCGGAATTGAATTGCTCCCCAGAGCTGGGAGGGAATGAGACTGAGTGGAGTCCCGCTCAGAAATGGCAGTTGTCTGTAGAATCTTAATCACTTGCTCTCCCTTCCTTCTCCTTCCAGTATGGTGACTATGACCCCTCCGTGCACAAGCGGGGATTCTTGGCCCAAGAGGAATTGCTTCCCAAAAGGGTAAGAAATCATATTCTCCCTTTGGGAAACCATAAACAGATTATATGGTCTTAAAGAAAGCTAACCAAAGGACTCGAAGGAATATTGAAAGTTTATGGCAAGAAGATTTATATAAATATTTTAAAATAAATCTTAAATAGTGTAGGATTGCTGTTAAGAATATGAAAAACCAGGCTAGCAAGTGGTGTGGAGGTTAAGGTAGCTGGATCCCCTATGGCCGACTGTGTGGTTCGAGTCCCAGACCTGGTGGCTTGAAAAATCACAACAGGTGAGTGTGCATGTACACTTACAATCCCGAGAGAACAGAGAAGAAGGGATTGAAGCATGACCATCCCCCCCCAGGGGGTGATTTCTCACTTTCCTTTCTGTCTCTCTCTGGTAAGTGCACATGTGCCCTATAGCAAAAACTAAAAGAAAAAAAGAAAGAAAACCAGAGGTTTGTAGAGTGTGATTGAGGTGGCAAGGACCAGCATGGCCTGGAAAACGTTTCTCTAGCGGGGTCATTTCTGTAGAGATGGTGGAGCGTCAGTGATTCCCAGAAGAAACGTGGCACAGTGTGTGTGTTCAGTGGGGAGGACTGAGCTGTTTGCAGCCCTGAAGGGTGGGTGGAGGAGATGAGGTAGGGGTGGATGTTGTGGTTTTCAATCCTTGGGGTTGTTCATCTTGTTCATTAGCCACAGGCGCAGGCCCTCCCTCCCTCTTGCTGCTTCTGATTTTATAGCCCCACTCATCTGTCACTGGGTAATAAAGGTCTGCCCTTGCCTTTCACTGCCTTTACCTGTCCTTCCCTGAGATTTGTGAGCGTGGCTCTGGATGAGCTCTGCTGCCAGAGGTGGCCTCTGGGTGTACAGCCAGGCGGGAAAGTGGGGCCGCTGCCAGGCAAGGGGTGCAGTTTTCTGAGTTTCCCCTCCACGTAATGGTGCTTGTTTACACGCCCACCTCTGCGTGTGACTGTCTCCCTGCGCGCGGGATTTTAAAAATAGCCTTGCTGTTTTGTAAAAATCATGCATAATTATAAAAATGGCAAACAATACCCAAACTTACTTTATGCGTGGGTTTTTTTTTTTTTTTTTATCTTGCTCTATTTTTTGGTAGGTAATAAATCTGTATCAAATGACTCCGGAAATGTGGGAGGAGAGAATTACTGCCTGGTACGCAGAGCACCGAGGCCGAGCCAGGTGAGGCTGCTTCATTGTTGGTTTGCATTTGTTTATGGGCATTTTTTTTTTTTTCCTTAAAGAACTACAAAAGTAGGGCAAGCTTGTTGAACAAAATGCAGTACTGAAGTACATAAAAGAAAAGAGGAGAACTGGGAGCAATGTCGGCCTTCCACCTCGCACGCATTCTTTTTCTAGCGGTATAAAGTAGACATGTGTAGACTGCCTTTCGGAATGTATAGACCTACTACATGGATTGGAAATCTAGTTACATTTTAAGAACGCTATCGCATGGGGGCCAGCAGGTGGTATAGAGATTAAGGTGATGGACTCCCACATGGCTGACTGTGGTTTGAGTCCTGGACCTGGTGGCTTGCTTTCTCATTTTCCTTCTCTCTCTGGTCAAATTAAAAAATAATAAGTAAAATGAAATAAATAATTCTTTAAAGAAGAAAAGAATTCTATCATATGGATATCTTACTGATTTTATATCCATCCCTCTATTGATGGCATTATGGGCTATCTGCAGGGTTTGTTTTTGTTTTTTTTTTTTTTCACTTTTTATTCTCCCATGCACAATCTTCTATCTGTATACAATTGTGTGAGCAGATCTGAGGATGGATTCTTTAGAAGGAGAGTTGCCGAGTCAGAGGATGTGAGCATTTTGTGTTCTGACAGGTGCCACCAAACTGCCGTCCAAAACGTTTGGACCCATTTGCACGCGCACTGTCAGAAGAGCGCCCCCATCACCCCATGCCATCTTTAGCATTTGTTTTTATCAAGTGCTGAAGATTTACTAATTTGTGTAATCTAAAAGGTAAAGAAGTGGGGACTAGCAGCATAATGGCTATGTCACTGGACTTCCATGTAGTCAACCATGGTTTGAGTCCTGGACCCGGTGGCTTAAACTCACGCCGGGCGTGTGTGCGTGCCCAAGATCCTGAGAGGAGAATGGAGGAGAAGGGACTGTGGTGTGGCCATCCCCCCTAGCGGGTGATTCTCGCTTTCTGTCTCTCTGTCTCTCTGGCGAGCACATGTGCCCTGTAGCAAAAACCTCTCAAAAAAAAACCAAAAAGGTAAAGAATTGTATCTGGTACTAGGATAGCTTTCTCCTAATCACTTTAGAAGTGAGCTTTTCATTAGCCTTTTTAAATGTTTTCTCTTCTTCAAATCAACTAACCTTCACACACTATTGTGTGCTCTCCAAATAGAGAGGGAGAAAGCACCCCTCACTGGGGCATGATCACACTGCAAACCCTTCTCCTCCACTCCCCCATCCTGCTGGGATCTGGGGTATGCACGCACACATGCTGATGTGGATTTTTCTAACTGCCAGGGTTGGCTTTGAACCAAGCAGTTGGCCATATAGAATCTGGCTCCCTTAACCACTAGACCATGGGCTGGCTTGCTCTTTTCTTTTTCTTTTAAAGTCCATTAATTTCTTCAGTGAGAGACAGACAGATAGTCTACACTCTGTCCCCAGCCTCAGCCAGTCAGCATCACAGACATGCACACGGATGTCTGACATGCACATGGGATGTTCTGATGCAAACCTAGGACCTTCCCATGTGGCTTCAGCATCAGGGTGTGCCACTGTGGCTGGCCACATTTGCTTTCTTTTTTTTTTCCCCAACTTTTAAAAAGTTTAAAATATAGGGACCAGTAGATGGTGTAAATGGTTACATCACTGGACTCCCACGTGGCCAGCTGTGGTTCGAGTCCCAGACCAGTCAGCTTGAAATTCACGCTGGGCACATGTGTGTGCATGCCCAAAATCTCGACAGGAAAATGAAGGAGAAAGGATTGAGGTGTGGCCATCCCTTCAGGGAGTGGTTTCTCACTTCTGTCTGTCTGTGTCTCTGTCTCTTTGACGAGTGCATGTGCCCTATATTAAAAATCTCTCTAAAATAAAAGGTATAATATACATACTGAAAATTAGACAATCGTAAATGGTCAACTCGGCCATCACAAAGTAGAACCACCATGTAATACCAAGCATAGCAACTGCCCGTAACCCCCTCCCCATATACCCCTTCCTTCTCCAAAGGTAACTGTGTCTTGACTTTATTCCACAGGTTAGTCTTGCCTGTTTTAAACACTGCAATCAGACAGTTCTATTTTTTGTGTCCCTCTTCTGTACTCAGCATCCTATTGTGAGATTAGGGTTTGTGGCATGTGGTAATTTTGTTTTCATTGCTGTGTAGACATCCCTTGGATTAATATAACACCTATTATTTATCGGTTCTACCTATTCTACCTTTTTCCCTTTTTTTTTTTTTTTAAAGAGGTTTTTGCCTTAGGGCAAGTGTACTCACAGGGGTGGGATGGGGCAGTGAGTAGACAGACAGTAAGAAAGAGAGAGAAATACCCGCCGGAGGGAAAGCCATGCAGTCTCCTCTCCTCCATTCTCCTCTGGGATCTTGGGCACGCACGCACATGTGCCTGGCATGAGTTTCAAGCCTTTGGGGCCAGGATTCAAACCACAGTCAACCGTGTGGGAGTCCAGCGATGTAATCTCTATGCCATCTGCTGGCCCCTATCCACGCTACCTTTGACATTTAGACTGATGGAGTGTTTCCTGCTTTTGCCGTTACAATAATGTCAGTTTCCCAAAGTGATTGTACCAGTTCCCATCAGCAGCATGCAGGATTTCTGGTTGCTCTACCGCTTGCCAACACTTGGCATTCTCTCAGGTTGAATTTTTAAAATTCATTTGAGAGCATTTTGAGATCGTAGAGAGAGGGAAGAGGGAGGACAAGGTCAAAGGGAGACTTGAGTTACAGTATTTTAATCCTGTGCTTATTTGGGAGCTTTATACAAGTCACTGTAGCTTTGAGCGCCTGCTTTGTGTTTGACTTACATCTTAGAGGTAGGGGCCTGCTGTGGGTTTTATAGCTCAGGCAGCTCTTGCCCTGACCTCCAACAATACCCAGAGAAGTAAAATCAGGAACATCGCAGCCAGGTAGCTCCTAGAGAGTTGTTTCCTCCCGAACCCTTCTAGGTGAAGAAAGTGCACAAAGCTAAAGGAAAAACTACCTCTGAGCATCCATTTGCGAGCACAAGATAACACACCACTAGACGGGTGTCCCTGTTTACCAAGGACAGGATGTGAAATTGCAGCCCAGAGATGCCGGAATGAGTCTTCTCATTTTCACGGGGAGGGGAGATTCTGCTTGACCTTGGAGTGTTTAATAGACTCGGGGTGGTGTCTCTGCTCTGGCCTGGGTCTTCTGCCAGCCACGTGGCTCCGGGGGAATGACAGGTCCAGAATGCGGAGCGTGGCACGTGCCCGCCCTACTCACTTAACCCTGGTGACAGTGTCTTCTGTTCTCACAGGGATGAAGCGGAAATGGAATATCTGAAGATAGCTCAGGACCTGGAGATGTACGGTGTGAACTACTTCGCAATCCGGGTGTGTTGAAACCTTTCCGAGTTCGCTGTCTAGTAAACAGAGGTTGAAATCAGGGGCGGACTGCTGAAATGGGTTACTTCTTCATTCCAGGGTGATAGAATCTTTTCTGGTCCAGTGGTAAAGAAGGAGAGAGAGGGGGGAGAGCGGTCTTAGCGCCTCATTTCCTATTTTTGGACTTCAATTAGATCATAGGTAATTAAGTGTCAGTTGAGCCTTGGGGGAGTTGGGCCTGGTTCTGCTTTCACCAGAAACCTGTTTGAATGCTCCCAGTGTAATGTTTGATTATTTCTGGCTCTCAGAGCTCGGCCCACAGGGAGCACCTGTAAATACTTGCTCTCCCCAGGGCACAGGGAACGTAAAGCTGCTTTTATAGATTACTGATTTGTTTGGGTGGGGACTCTTTTACTCACTATGAGGCTAATTGGTTTTCTTTTCAGACCATTAATAGTGCTATCCTCTGGGAACCCACTGCTTCCCAGAGAGAGGCTTTTGTGTTCAGTCCAGGTCTGAGCCTTTAGAATGTCTTTCTCCCGGGGGTCGGTTGCTGGATGCAGGAAAATAGGCAGCTCCTTTTAGAGGAATATACACGATTTGCTAAAGCATCTCATCACTGTTTCTAGACTGTAGATAGTCAATGTTAAAACAGTCAGCCATGGGACCAGCGGGGGCACGGAGGTTAAGGGGTCTGTATCCTACACGGTAAGCTATGCAGTTCAAGTCTCAAACCTGGCAGCTTGAGAAACATGCTGGGTGCGTGTGTGCACATGTCCAAAATCCCAAGAGGAGGATGGAGGAGAAGAGATTGTGGTGACCATCCTCCTGGTGTGGGGGGTGTGCTTTCCCATTTTCCCACATTTCATCAATCTGTCAGCAAGCACATGCGCCCTATACCAAAAACAAACAAACAAACAAAACCCTAAACTAAAAGAAACTGAAACAAAAACAAATAAAACAGTCACAGTAGTCCACATTTAGCATTATAGTTATGCTTTGTTTCCCATTTTTGGGTTCTTAAATCTTTCGTATTAAATGTGTGTAAATTAAAATATAGTTTAAGTATTCTAGAATAGCTTTCTACTTTATTTTGTTTTCCTAAATATGGATGATTTTTACGGATTACTTTGTTTAAAAATAATGCACACTGAAACGTCATGTTATTTCATAAACAAATACCTCAAAGATGTTTCATCACAACGCGGAAGGTTGTTTACTCAGCTTGATTAAATTGTATTTGCTAATTGTTTGGCCTCTTTAAAGTCAGACTAATTTAACACATCGCTATGGTTTTGTAAACCCAACTCGTCTTGCCTCACATGCAAGCCACCTATATGCTACAAAACCTGTTTTATAAGCCTCAGAAAACCAGTTTCTTATTAGGGAATATTTCTACATTAGTCAGGCTAATGTATGCTATTCGTGTGTGTGTTTCTTTTTCTGAGCAATAGACAAAACTGAAGGCTATTTTCATGTCTTTTGTGTTAGAGTTCCTGGAATTCCACCATGAACAGGAAGGTAGAGGAAGATAGATGCTTCGAGACGATTTAAAAGGGGCTGCTTGAATCCCCGCGTCTGTGTTTCATCTCTAGAAGTGTTGGAGTCATGATGATAGCGGGGATGGGCAGAGGGTATAATCCATTAAAAAAAAAAAAAAAACTTAAACTGAATAGAAACATAACCAAACATCTCGTTTTCAAGATGTACTGTAGATTTAAAGGCACACAGCCTCACTTCAGTTAACACAGTGGTCTTAAGAGCTTTGCAGACAAGCAGAAGAGTCTCTCATGGGCTGGTGATAGTGCCTGACTTCAGGGTGTGAGGAGGAGTGAAAAGATTTATGGCGGAACACTCACTTCTCCATCTGACGCCTGCTGTTAGATTGGTACTTCTCATCACGGTCCGAGCACCTTCTCAGCTGGCAGCTCTGTTTTCCTGCTCTTGAGTCTTGGTTCAATTTCCTTGGTGTCAGCAAGGGGTCAGGTGCTGTAGTGTGCTGGTGCAGGGAGGTTCCTTCCACGGCCAGGCAAGGGCCAGACCACACCAAGGCGGACAAGCCTGCATGTGAGCACGTGCTCTAGTGCTGTGTCACTGACTTGGGGCCCAGAGTGTTTGCCCCTGGCTACTCTGACTGCTGACTAGGTCACTGGCTTTAAGGTGCTGGACTCCCATGTGGCTGATCACGGTTCGAGTCCCAGACCTGATGGCTCAAGACTTAAACCAGGCGCATGTATGTGCATGCCTAACATCCCGAGAGGAAGGTGGAGGAGAGGGGACTGCAGTGTAGTTATTCATTCCCTCAGAGGATGATTTCTCACTTTCCCATTCTCTGTTTCTCTCCTGGCACATGTACATGCCCTATAGCATAAAAGCCTAAAAAAAGAAAAAGAAATTCTTTTTAGCAGTCCAACAACTTTGTTTTTCTTTTAAATTTTTGCCAGAGGACATGTGTGCTTGCCAGAGAGAAAGAGAGAGAGAGAGAAAGTGAGAAAGAACCCCGATGGGGCATGGTCACACTTTAACCCCTTCTCCTCTGTTTCTTCCTCCTGTTGTGATTTGGGCATGTATGTACACATCCCTGGCATGTTTTTCAGGCTGCTGGGTCCAGGACTCAAACTGCCACAGTTGGCCATGGGGGCTAACTACCTTAATTGTCACACTACCAACTGGTCCAGTCTTTTTTTTTAAAATAAGAAATATTTAAACTGATACTTACCTGGCAGGGGAGATACCATGATCATGAAGGTGGTTCTCCCAGGGTGAGGCTTATCCATTGCACTCCCGATGTGCTGACCCCTGCGATTTCCCCAAATGTGGGAAACTTGACTGCATAATTTGTGGTAGGGGGGCCCATGTTCATGCTTTCCCCTGTAAAAAATTAAAAAAAAATTTTTTTTGAACTGATGGGTTCTAATTCTATTAGGTTATTGGGAAAGTCATGATGTATTTTTCTATGTTTTTCTGTGCAAAAATCTGTCACGACTTTCCAGACAACCCAGTACATCTGTAATAACTATTATTTAATTAGCAATCACAGCACCGCTGACCCCCCACTTTAGCCAGGAAGATAGATGCTTCGAGACGATTTAAAAGGGGCTGCTTGAATCCCCGCGTCTGTGTTTCATCTCTAGAAGTGTTGGAGTCATGATGATAGCGGGGATGGGCAGAGGGTATAATCCATTAAAAAAAAAAAAAAAAAAATTAAAACTGAATAGAAACATAACCAAACATCTCGTTTTCAAGATGTACTGTAGATTTAAAGGCACACAGCCTCACTTCAGTTAACACAGTGGTCTTAAGAGCTTTGCAGACAAGCAGAAGAGTCTCTCATGGGCTGGTGATAGTGCCTGACTTCAGGGTGTGAGGAGGAGTGAAAAGATTTATGGCGGAACACTCACTTCTCCATCTGACGCCTGCTGTTAGATTGGTACTTCTCATCACGGTCCGAGCACCTTCTCAGCTGGCAGCTCTGTTTTCCTGCTCTTGAGTCTTGGTTCAATTTCCTTGGTGTCAGCAAGGGGTCAGGTGCTGTAGTGTGCTGGTGCAGGGAGGTTCCTTCCACGGCCAGGCAAGGGCCAGACCACACCAAGGTGGACAAGCCTGCATGTGAGCACGTGCTCTAGTGCTGTGTCACTGACTTGGGGCCCAGAGTGTTTGCCCCTGGCTACTCTGACTGCTGACTAGGTCACTGGCTTTAAGGTGCTGGACTCCCATGTGGCTGATCACGGTTTGAGTCCCAGACCTGATGGCTCAAGACTTAAACCAGGCGCATGTATGTGCATGCCTAACATCCCGAGAGGAAGGTGGAGGAGAGGGGACTGCAGTGTAGTTATTCATTCCCTCAGAGGATGATTTCTCACTTTCCCATTCTCTGTTTCTCTCCTGGCACATGTACATGCCCTATAGCATAAAAGCCTAAAAAAAGAAAAAGAAATTCTTTTTAGCAGTCCAACAACTTTGTTTTTCTTTTAAATTTTTGCCAGAGGACATGTGTGCTTGCCAGAGAGAAAGAGAGAGAGAGAGAAAGTGAGAAAGAACCCCGATGGGGCATGGTCACACTTTAACCCCTTCTCCTCTGTTTCTTCCTCCTGTTGTGATTTGGGCATGTATGTACACATCCCTGGCATGTTTTTCAGGCTGCTGGGTCCAGGACTCAAACTGCCACAGTTGGCCATGGGGGCTAACTACCTTAATTGTCACACTACCAACTGGTCCAGTCTTTTTTTTTAAAATAAGAAATATTTAAACTGATACTTACCTGGCAGGGGAGATACCATGATCATGAAGGTGGTTCTCCCAGGGTGAGGCTTATCCATTGCACTCCCGATGTGCTGACCCCTGCGATTTCCCCAAATGTGGGAAACTTGACTGCATAATTTGTGGTAGGGGGGCCCATGTTCGTGCTTTCCCCTGTAAAAAATTAAAAAAAAATTTTTTTTGAACTGATGGGTTCTAATTCTATTAGGTTATTGGGAAAGTCATGATGTATTTTTCTATGTTTTTCTGTGCAAAAATCTGTCACGACTTTCCAGACAACCCAGTACATCTGTAATAACTATTATTTAATTAGCAATCACAGCACCGCTGACCCCCCACTTTAGCCATCAGGCCAGTGGCAGAGCCCCTAGGGAGGCTCTTGGGGGACACACAAGTCATAAGAACAGTATGGTTTTGTCCCCATTCAGGAAGCTGGAAGCCTCCTGGGTTGTAAGACTGCTGACTTCTGTCGGACCTGCTGGAACTTGTCATATATAACAGTGCGTGCCAGGTTCTTTGGGAAGTTGAATACAATCTCGAGCCTCAGCTGGAGCTTACACTGGCTGTTCTTTATTGGATCTACAGAACAAAAAGGGCACAGAGCTGCTGCTTGGAGTGGATGCTCTGGGGCTTCACATCTACGACCCCGATAACCGGCTGACCCCAAAGATCTCCTTCCCCTGGAATGAAATCCGAAACATCTCATACAGCGACAAGGAGGTAGGATATGTCTGTACAGCAGATGCCAAGACTGGCCCAGAAAAAGGTCTCTCCTCCTCGTTGGACCTCCCTATCCAGGCAGATTCCGTGTTATCAGTAAAATCCTTTAATTCTCAGTCTTTGGGATTTTGGTTGTTGATTTTAAAAGTATTTACAAAACAGTATTGGCCTCCTTTTTTCAAAGGGTATCACTAAACCCCACTACTGACTAACAAGAGACTGGAAAGCTCAGCTTGTCAGAGCTAAGACCCAAAGAACAGTAAACAAACCAAAAGAGTAACATTTTCTTATTACTTGGCTGTCTACTTCTGGTAAAAAATTCGTTGTATTTCAAATGTCATCTGTATTGAGCCCTCTGTGTCCAGCGCTCAGTACATGTGGAGTAAGAATACACACATGTATATACACACATACACATACATACATGTGTGTGTCATGTGTGTGCATGTGTATACACATCAGAATAGCAGGCTAACAGGCTTACAAAAATTTGAGTTTGACCAAATAGATAAACACTGTTAGAATTTAATATTTTTAAATGCCAGCAGGCATGTCTATATGTGTGTGAGAAAGAGAGAGAAAACCCCCTCAGTAGGGCCTGATGACACTGCATTTTTCAGTTCTCCATCCCATCAGGATCCTGGATCATGGCTGGAACTCGAACCCTGGTTGACCACGTCTGATAGGGCTTCTTCTGTGTTGCACTTAACTACATGTGATGGGATGTGTTCTTGAATTCAAATATTTTTATTCAGGATGATAGCTTTTCCCAAATGACATGTTTATTCATCCATGAAGTCATTCATTCTCAGTAATTTTAAAGAAATTATTGAGCATCTGCTTTGTGTTAGATTTCATAGGCCAGACAAAACGGTAGAAAAATCCAGTCCCAGTCCTCAAGGAAGTTATAGTTAAATAACAACAGTGGAAGGAACTCTAAGGAAGGTGATTTAAAATACAGTGCTTCCACTTAGAAGGACTTTTTTAATTTTTTTAAGAGATTTTTGTTATAGGGCATGTACACTCACCAGAGAGACAGAAAGCAAGAAATCACCTCCTGGGGGCGGGGGGCACACTACAATTCCTTCTCCATTTCCTGTCGTGTATGTTGCCATGCACACACACACACACACGGTATGAGTTTTAAGTCTGGGTCCAGTGATAAAACCACTATGCCGTCTGCTGGTCCCACACTTGGAAGAACTTTAAGCATGCGCTAATTTAATCCTTGTTAGGACACGGCTGTATGGCTAGGGCTGTATTTTCTGGGTCCCATCAGGAGGCAGAGATGCAGAGGGACCAAGTGGCCTGTGTCTGTGGACTAGCAGGGGCTTGAGCCAGGAATGTTGATGTCACATCATCTGCTTTCCATGGAGCCCCAGAGGCCCCGAGAGCACAGGGGACTACAGTGGAGGGAGGCTGGACTGTGCCTGGTGACTTCCTGCACTGCCAGGACGCAGGGGCAGTCAGTCACAGTGTCTGTTTCTATTGTTGCCTGCCAAGGCCTGGCTCCCAAGCAAACGCTCTGTGCTCTCTTCTCTTTTTACACAGCACTTTAGGAAAGGCACACCAGGCCTCTGGTTTCCCGTATATAGTTGCAATCTCTGCAGCCATGTCTGATGGGACAGATTGAGCTTATTCATTCAAAATGCTTTTTTCTTTAAGAATTGTTTTATTTAACTTTATTTAATTAATTTAACTTACTTATTTGACCAGAGAAAAGGAGAGAGAGAGGGAAAGTGAGAAAGCAAGTCGCCAGGTCTGGGACTCAAACAGTGGTCAGCCATGTGGGAGTCCAGTGCCCTTAACCACCATGCCACCTGCTGGCCCCTCAAAATGCTCTTACTTTGAAGTTCTCTAAGTAGTTAGCCCAGGGGACAGGTTTTTAGAAATTTCTTTTCTTTCTTTTTTTTTTTTTTGTTACAGATTTTTGCTATAGAACGCACGTGTGAACTGGCCAGAAGGACACAGAAAGCGAGAAATCACCTCCCAGGGGATGGCCATACTGCAGTCCCTTCTTTTCCATTCCCCTCTTGGGATTTTGGGCATGCACGCACATGCATCGGCATGATTTTGAACCCACTGGGTCCGAGACTTGAACCTCAGTCAACTACGTGGGAGTCCAGCAACATAACAATTATGCCATCTGCTGGTCCCAGGAATTTAAAAAAAAAGACTTTAGCTGAAAGCTCCACATGACTGACAGCAATTAGGTGTGCCCTGGAAAGGTAGTTTTCATCTCCAGTTTCATCAAGTCTGTTTATTGCACATCTACACATTTGAGCGCTAAAGGCTCCCCAGACACTCCTTACGCAAAGGACCCAGGGACGAGTCTCTCCTCATGTGGCCAGACGCAATAAACTCTAGCATGCCCTCTCCAGAGCAAGGCTCTGTCACGCTCCATCACGTCAATAACTCACGCAGCATGAGGACCCCAAGCTGACTTGGCATAATAGGAAGTAGTCTTGGTGGTCATGCACGACAGCCGGCCTGTCAAAACAGAAATGTTAGTTTATTCTAAGTGAGCCATTGATTCTTTGTGTACGCCCTGGTGCGGCGCAGAGCCTGTGGTTTCCCCACTACTTGTGGTTTCCCACTGACATCTCTGAGGTTTGACAGCAAGGCCAGAAATAGGCTTGCACAATTCACAGATAGCAGCCTACGCAAGAGCAATCCTGTTTTTAAGTTAACTTGGCCGAAAGCTGAACAAAGCACCGTTTTTGGTCCTCAGCATGCTCAGCCCTCATCGGACAGTACTACATGTGGAAGGACGGACCAGGGATATAGCTGCCCACGCCCGTTTATCTGCTTAGCCAGTCTTTCTGGGGATGGGATATCTGTTTGTTTAAGTGCGTCTTTGAAATTCAGGGTCTGTCTAGTGTCATCAGGAATGGCTGAGGACAGCAGTTGTTTTTCTCAAGTTTATTTATTTTTCCATGAAGGAGAGAGACAGAGTGAAAGCAAGAGAGAAACGAGCACCCTCAGTAAGGTCTCATGCCACGATCCCCCAGCCTTTCCCAGCACAGGAGCTCGCCCTGCTCTGTGGACCCGGCCACTGAACCTGCTCGTCCATACTGCTTCTGGCTCACAGACTGTTACAGTACTGCTGAGTCACCAGGGCCAGCTATATTTTTGTTTGTTTGTTTTAAAATTTTTCACAATAGGGTGAGTGCACACACTGGAGAGAGAGAGAGAGGCAGGGGAAGTGAGGAATCACCCCCAGGGGGACGGCCATGCCGCAGTCCCTTCTCCTCAGGATTTTGGGCACACATGTCTGGAGTGTTTTTTAGGCTGCTGGATCTGGGGTTTCAACTGTGGAGCTGGGCCATGTGGAATCCAGTGCCTTAACCACCACACCACCTGCTGGCCCCCCTTTTTTTTTCTTTTTTAATGTTTCCCTGCCACTGGTCCGGCCCTGGGTTTTCTTACTAAGCCACCATCCATCCTCATCGTTTATCTTTCTCTCCACTTGGATTTCAAAAACTGTGTTTTTCTTTTCTATTACAGTTCATTTTTCTTCACATCTTATTTCTTCTGTGAATAGCTTTTCCCCAATCATCCTCAGGTTTATTAACCCGTAGAGATATCCTGTGTCTGTCGCATTGGTTCTAAATCCTTCATCTTGTATTCCTTATACCCCTCAGCCCAATTCGGCCTCCTTCCCAGCCTAAGCCTGCGAGGTGCTCAGCTCCGCATCTCCACGTATTTCCATCCAGAACGACCCTCCATTCTAACTTTTAGCTACTCTGCCTTCTCCTCCTTTTTGTTTTTTCATTTTTTATTTTTAAATTTACCAGAGAGCACATGCACTTTCCAGAGAGAAACACTGGGCATGGTCTCCCTGCAGTCACTTCTCCATTTCTTCATCCTCCCAGGATTTTGGGGCATGCATGCACACATGCCAGTGTGTTTTTCAAGCCTTTGGGGCTGGCATTCAAATTGTGCAGTCTGCCTTATTTATTTATTTATTCATTCATTCGTTCATTTGCTAGAGGGCATATGCATTCCCCAGAGAGATTCAGAGAGAGGAGAGGAGAAAGCAACCCCCCCCCCCCATGGGGAATGGTCTTGCCATAATCCCTTCTCTTCTATCTCTTCATCCTTTGGGGATTATAGCCACATGTGCTTGTGTGTTTCTCAAACCACCAAGTCTGGGACTTGAACCATGCAGTTGGCCACATGGAATCCGGGTTCTTAACCACTAAGCCACAAGGGCTGACCTTCCTCCTCCTTTTTTTTTTTTTTTTAAGTTTTGCCATAGAGCACATGCACTTGGTGGAGAGACAGAGACAGAGAGAGAGAGAAAGTGAGGAATCACTCCCCATGATTGTGGCCATGCCACTATCCCTTTTCTCCTCCCCTCTCAGGATTTTAGGCATGCACACATAGGTACCCTGCATGTTTTCCAAGCTACCAGGTCCAGGACTTGAACTGCATAGTGCTCTCAAACATATACCCCTATGGCTTGGCCATATTCTTCTATGACAGTTTCTGCCCCCTCAGTGGATCTACTCTGAATGCCAGGACGTTTGGATTTGAAACACTCCACGAGGCACCAATATGTCATGTCGTTCCTTGAGTAACTGGCTGTCCTAGTGTAAATCCTGCTAGGTCAGGGTCTTCACGAAGGCAGAGCTATGCCTCCGCGTGTTGGCCTTGAGGGTGGGCCCATCATGGGAGCATGTTTCAGATGGCCTGCATTCTTCCTCACACCCATGCCTGCGACGGTGCAGAGAGCACACTTAAGATCCTGAACTCCCACCTCCCAGGCTCGGCACCCTTCTTGCTCCCAGCTCACTGAGGCCAAGTGCCGGGTACCAAGAAGCCTGGACTGTGCAGAGCCTCTGGCTGGGCCGTGGACAGTGAGGTTGCTGTTTTTGTGGAATTTCGCAGTCGGTGGTAGCATTCCAGGCTGTCAGACTAGAGCTGTTTTCTGCTTTCTTCTTTCAGTTTACTATTAAACCACTGGATAAGAAAATTGATGTCTTCAAATTTAACTCCTCAAAGCTTCGCGTTAATAAGCTGGTAAGTTGAGATCCTGGTTTTCATTACTGATAACTGTAGCTTTTCTGAGAAAAATCGAATGTTTCTTTTTAGAGGCTATCAGAGTGACATCTTGGAGAGTGTAGAATTACAGCTGACTTGGTACATGCTTTTTTCCCTTTGTGTAGGCTAGAGAATCAAACCTAAATTTTATAATGCAATTTTAAAAATGGTTTTTACTGAAGTGCTTTCTACATATAAAGATAAGGAAATGTATATATTAGGTATAAAGAAAGATAAAAATGAATAGTTTTGTACCTGTGATTCGATTTTTTTTTAATTTAAAAACTTTTTAAAAAAGTTTTATTTATTGTTATTATTGTTGTTATTTAAAATTTGCTTTGGGGCACATATATTTACCAGAGAGAGAGAGAGGGAGAGAAAGTGAAAAAGCAAGCTGGCAAGTCTGGGACCTGAACCATGGTCAGCCATGGGGGAGTCCAGTGCCTTACCCACCATACCACCTGCTGGGCCCCACCATTCAGCTTCTTTTTTTTTTTGGAGAGATTTTCACTGTAGGGCGCGTGCGCTCGCCAGACAGACAGAGAGAGACATAGAGACAGAAAGCGAGAAATCTCCCCCCAGGGGGGATGGTCACGCCGCAATCCCTTCTCCTCCATTCTCCTCTCGGGATCTTGGGCACGCACGCACACGTGCCCGGCGTGAGTTTTAAGCCCCCGGGTCCGGGACACGAACCGCGGTCGACGATGTGGGAGTCCAGCGACATAGCCATTACGCTAACTGCTGGTTCCCACCGTTCAGCTTCTTAAAAAAAAAAATTATTATTTATTTATTTAATTCCATCTGTTATTATTATTTTTTAATTTGACTAGATAGAGACAGAGAGAGAGAAAGGGAAAGCAAGCTGCCAGTTCTGGGGCTTCAACCATGGTTGGCCATGTGGGAATCCAGTGCCTTTATCCATCACGCCACCTGCTGGCCCCCCATTCAACTTTAACAGCACACCCCAGTACTGTGGTGACCCTTCATGTCAGTAGCCAGTAGCCTGCTAGTTTTGTCTCCCTCCTCTTTCTGAGGTCTGTGCTTACTGCTTTCTTTTGTTTATTGCTCTGTGTGTGTGTGCGTGTATGTGTGCAAGCATGTGCACTAGATTGTGCTTGTACTTGCCAGAGAAAGAGAGAGAGAGAGAGAGAGAAAGGAGAGAGCCCTCAGCATAGGAAATGGTCATGCTGTAATCCCTTCTCCTCCATCTCTCTTTCAGGATTTTGGGCACACATACATGCCTGGCCTACTTTTTTCTTTTTTTTTAATTTTCTTTTTAGTTTTTACTACAGGGTGCATGCACTTGCCAGAGAAAGACAGGGAAAGTAAGAAATCCCCTTCCAGAGGGGGATGGCCATGCTGTAAACCCTTCTCCTCTAGCATCCCTGAGATTTGGGGCATGCATGCACATGCCCCCAGCATGATTTTCAAGCCACAGGTCTGGGACTCAAACAACACGACTGGCCATTTGGGATCCAGCACCTTAATTTCCATGCCCCCTACTGGTGTTGCCCAGAATGTTTCTAAAGCCACTGGGTACGGGGCTGGAACCATCAGTCGGCCATGTGGGATCCAGCTGCCTTAACTATCAGGCCAGAGAGCTGGCCCTACCCTTGGCTTTTTTTTTTTTTTTTGAGAGAGATTTTCACTGTAGGGCGCGTGCGTTCGCCAGACAGACAGAGAGAGACATAGAGACAGAAAGCGAGAAATCACCCCCCAGGGGGGATGGTCACGCCGCAATCCCTTCTCCTCCATTCTCCTCTCGGGATCTTGGGCACGCACGCACACGCGCCCGGTGTGAGTTTTAAGCCACCGGGTCCGGGACACGAACCGCGGTCGACTACGTGGGAATCCAGCGACATAGCCATTACGCTAACTGCTGGTTCCCTACCCTTGGCTTTTTATTGGAATTTTATTTTTAAAATTTTGCCAGAGGGTGTGTGCGATCACCAGAAAGAGAGGGGGAAAATCACCCCCAGTGGGGCAGGGTCACACCGCAATCCCTTCTCCTCCATCCTGCTGGGATTTGGGGGCACACACACAGACACATGCTCAGGTAGTTTTATAAGCCACCGGAGCCAGGATTCGAACTGCACAGTCAGCCATGTAGGATTCGGCTCCTTTAACCATAGGTCATAGGGCTGACCTATGCTTTTCTTTTCAGGTTTCCTGCCACCTACAAGGGCCCAAGGTGCTAGAGTGCAGGTGGCTGTAGGCAGCAAAGTCAGTCTGTGGGTATTAACGTGCCCCTGCTTCTGTGGCCCTAGATTCTCCAGCTGTGTATCGGGAACCATGACCTGTTTATGAGGAGGAGGAAGGCCGACTCTCTGGAAGTTCAGCAGATGAAAGCCCAGGCCAGGGAGGAGAAGGCTAGGAAGCAGGTGAGCCAGGCCTTGTTTTCACCGATCGTGTCGTGGCTTGGTCCGTCTGGGCCTGGGAGGTAAGAAGTGGTTGTGGGCCGGTGGGAGCTGTTTGTCCTCAGCCTTGCCTGCTCAAGTTTTACCCCTGCGGGACTGTGAACGGCTGAACCCAGCTGGTGGGACTATGACTGAGGAATCAACCTAAGAGCATACCTGAAAGAACTGTCGTCAGTGAAGTTAAGTGTGATTAACGCAGGGACGAGGCAGCTGCTTGTGACGGTCCATCCACCGAGCTCTTTCTCTTTGCCACCAGCCTCCTTTGCCCAGCCGTCTCCCTTTCTAATTAGATGGTGATGGAATGCAGGCAGCATCTCAGGGCCTGCTGCTGGAATGCTAATTAGACTCCGGCCACACTTCCCCGCTGCAGGTCAGCCCCAGTGGCACGTCGCCCTCCGCGGGAGGTGTCAGGAGCACCTATCAGCAGACCCGACGGGCTGCATCCTTGTTTTCTACTCAGAGACCTTACTCACGGAAATCCACACAACTAATTTGCTCTTGCTGCCGAGAATATCAATCGTGTTTTGGGACGAACTGCTAGATAGAGTGGCGGCGGCGGCGGCCACTGCCCTCAGGACTCGCAGGCTCCGCGGTGTAATAATTAGTGTACATGCAGCACTCTCTGATTTGGGTCCGCCGGAGAGGCTGGCTCCAGCCCTGGGATCTGGAATGAAAGTCCCACTTTGATCCAGTGTGCTTTCAGCTCTCCATCTCTTGCTTGCTGAGAAGCTAGGCTCTTAGGGATGCTTTGGGGGTGGCGGGATGACTTTTGTTGGACCAAAATGCTCCGGAGCCAGCATGGGGTCGTAGTGGCAACTTCAAGGAGCATTCCTTGCGACCGCCTTCTTACCAGAGCACAGCTTGGAAGTGAGAGATCCGAGGGCATCGAGGAGCATGTACACCTCACCTCGGGACCCTGGCAGAGAGATGCACACACACCCCAGACCTGCACTGTGGGGGGAACACCAGAGGCACGGCCCTGGCACCTGAGCAACCACGGGCCCAGTCAAACACGGACCTTGGCGCCAGATCTGAAATGTGGTGTGCGTGACCCGAGTCAACAGCTGGCCTCACTCGGTGTTGTCATCTGTCGTGTAGCGCTAATGATCCCTCTCCTCTGTCACATCAGGGCACGTGTTGCTCCTGACCATTTTAGTAGGAGATAAACTGCTTTGCAAACAGTAGGGCCTTTAATATGGGAGTGGAGGTCTCATATTACAGTGTTGGGAACTGAAGGGGGTTGCCTGGGCTCTTTTTCAAGTGGAGAGTAATAGAGACGTAACTCACCTTACGGAAATTGTAATACGGTAGAAATTAGAGAACAAATCGGCCGAGCTTTTCATTGACCTGCAAGAAGAAAATTGGAGAAGAACTTAACAGTATTTTATTGCTTGTCTTTGCATTATTCTTTCAAGTTCCAACCTAATTTTTAAATTTTCTTGGCTCAGTATTTAGAAAAAGCAGCCATCTTAGAAATCCTAGGGCACTGGACTCCCACATGGCCGACCTGGTTCAACTCCTGGACCTGGAGGCTTGCTTTCTCACTTTCCCTCTCTGTCTCTGTCTCTCTCTGTGTCTCTTTCTGGAAATATTAAAATAATAATAACAAAGTTAAATAAAATGATTTTTAAAAAAAGAATGCAGTTGTCTTTAAAAAAAAAAAAGAAATCCTGTGTTACTAGAGTTAAGATAAGGTGGGTGAGAAGTAAGTAAACGGGCTTTATTCAAGGCAGAGAACAGTGCAGTGGTCACTTCTGGCAGCTGCTTTCTGAACTCAGTCAGTACCCTGGGATCACAGAGACTAGCCCCGTCCTGTGCTTGTTCCCCTCATTAAGCTCGGCATGTGGCCCAATTAACGCAGTGATCCAGAAGGCAAGGGAAGTGGCAGCGGCTTTGTGCTGTTGCCTTGAGGACAGGGGACTGTGTTCCCTGCCTGGCTCCCTCCTGCTGCAGGCCTGGCTCGTCTGCGTCTGTGTGAGGGTCTGCGTGAGGCCATGCACGTTGAGGTTGTGGCTGCTGAGGCTTCCCCCGGAGCCGTACAATGTGCGAGCCACTGCTGCACCCTATGCCAGCATTCCCTGTTCTGTGGGTCAGAGGCAACAGCGGGGCTGTTGCGGATGAAATCAGAGCCGACCCTGTAGCTCTGAGGTGTTGAGATGGCACCTCTGGCCACACGAGAATGCTGCCTGGGACTGAGCTCCATCTCAGAGAGGAGGAACCAGCCACGCATCCTGTCAGCTACTGGGCAGAGTCGATGAGGTTTCCCCAATGAGGGGGGCACGGGCAAGGTGGCTGTATTCTTGTCAGTGTAGGAATGCCTCATTCTGCCCAGGTTAAGATGAGGCCTCCTTTTTGTAGTTTGTTCATTCACTACTAGGCTTTTTTTTTTTTGCCATAGGTCTCCTGTGCTCGCCAGGGAGACAGTGAGAGGGGAAGTGAGAACTCACCCGCGCCGCAGGGGGATGGCCATGCTGCAGTCCCTTCTCCTCCATTCTCCTTGTGAGATTTTGGGCATGCCTGCACGCATGCCCAGTGTGATTTTCAAGCCCTCAGGCCAGGGACTTCAGACCCCTATCAGCCATATGAGAGTCCAGTACCTTAACCACCACACCACCTGCTGGCCGCATTACTAGGCTTTATCTTAAGGGTCATGATTTTCAAACTTACACCTGGTTTAGAGGGACAGAGGGTGGGCTATAAGAATGACCCTGGCTACCTAAAATCAAGGGACAGAAAGGGGAGACTCGAGACTGTTCTTGGATCCCTGTGGCACTGTGGGTGTCTCACCCTGTGACTCAGTGACTGTTCTTGCTCACCCCCAGATGGAGCGGCAGCGCCTCGCCCGAGAGAAGCAGATGAGGGAGGAGGCTGAACGCACGAGGGATGAGCTCGAGCGGAGGCTGCTACAGATGAAGGAAGAGGCAACGATGGCCAACGAAGCACTGGTGATTTCTGGGGCCTGCGTCCCAGGGGACCTCTTGCTGCTCTGGAGTCCAGCCTCCCGAGGACCATGAATTGGCAGCATTTGCTTTGCGATGCCTTATTTCAGCTTTTAAAAAGTTGATGCCAGGATTGCTCCATGGCCTGGTGGTTAAGGCAGCCACATCCTTCGTGGCCCACCCAACAGTTGAGTCCTAGACCCGTAGGCTAGAGAAACCCTGGAAAAGTGTGCGCATGCCCCAGATCCTGGAAAGGAGGGAGACACCAAGGAGATGGAATTGCAGCGTGACCAAGCTTCACGGGGGTGATTTCTCTTCTCCCTCTCTCTCTGTCCCTCTGGTGAGCTCATGCACCCCTGCCTCCCACCTCCGACCTGGGTTGCCAGGACAGATTTAGGTTCAGTTCACATGCGGCCACACTCCACTTTCACCTTAGAATTGTCACTGCTGCTACTTTTTTTTTTTTTTTTTTTTTTAGTGATTTTTTGCTATAGGGCACGTGTGCTTGCCAGGGAGATAGTGACAGAGAGACAGGTGAGAAATCATCCCCCAAGGGGATGGCTACACTGCAATCCTTTCTTCTCCCTTCTCTCGGGGATTTTGAGCATGCACACACACACACCCAGCGTGAATTTCAAGGTGCCAGGTCTAGAACTCAAACTGCAGTCAACTACATGAGAGTCCAGGGGCATAACCATTTCTTTTTTTTAGTTTATCTCTAGATCCTTTAAAAAAAATAAAAAAAAGTTGGGAACCATGACAGACAGATAGAGAAGATAGAGAGACAGGTGTCCGTAGTAGGGTCTCCATGCACAATTCACCCCGAGCCTGGGTTATAGGCACATAAGTGCTCCTGGCCAGGATAAGGAAGCCCAGGGCGGTGAAC